TGCGATGCAACCTGCGTGAGCAAGCCACGCAGGAATATCCCACGGGCGCCGTTTACGTCACGGTCCATTCCGAAACCGGTGTCATCCCGAATTGCCTTGGCGCCGCCCAACTTGGTGTTCACGGTACCGTCCCAACTGCGGGTCTTGCTGGTGTACGCCTCGTTGACGTCGAGCACCAACGCGCCGCGCTGCCAGGCTTTCCACTGCAGAGCGCTGCTTGAACTCGTAGTGGCGGAAAGTGAGCATCATGCGGGCGGTCTTGCTGCGGATTCTCCGGCCGGCCCTTTGGGTCATGTCGTGGGTCTCGAAAGTTGGTAGCAGGATGATCCGGTAGTTGCTGGTCAACCAGCGAGCCAGTTGCCAATGGAGCTCGTCCACCAGGTTCGTTATTCGCTGCCGCATTCGCGCCTGTGCGCTGCGCATTTGCCGACGCTTTCGTCGGTTGGGTTCCTTGGCAGTGCGGCTGATCAGGTCGTCGAGCCAGTGGCAGAGCCGCTGGATGCGCCCGAAGGCGTGGTGGCCGAGCTTGCCGCAGTCGGTTTCGGAAAAGTACGTGAGAAAGGTGCGAACGCCGGGGTCGAGCGCCACTACGCCATCACCGCTTGGGGTCTCAATGTCGCATTGCGCCGGGTAAGGAACGATGAGCCAGTAGCGGCCGCGCTCCTGCACCAGTCGGCATTCTTTGTGCTCCGCCGGGATGGCTTCGGCCATCCGCAGCGGTCCGAGCATGGTGTGATAGACGCCGTGCTCCGTCACGGCGTCGTCTGGTATGTAGCAGGACTGCTTGGGGTTCTGCGGCTGCGGTAGCCGAGTTGGGCGAACTCTTCGTCGGCTCTGTTGCCGTGTGCCTGGTGGGACTTGAGTTCCAGGTTGAAGGTCTTGACGTTGCTCATGGCCCGGCAGGCGTCCCTGACTGCCGTGCGCTTCACCTGGTAGGGAACCGAATCCCATTCGGGATGCAGCGCTTTGACTTCCGGCATTACCATGCTGGCGATGTGTTTCCATACGGCCGGGAATGCCTGACTGCAGGATCTCGACGGTGAGGTTGTAGGTCCAACGGCTGGCGGTCAGCCAGGTGGCGATGGTCACCTTCTGTGCGCTGTCCGGATAGACCTGAATCCGGCGCGACTGCTGGCCTGTAGCGCCCTGGTTTGAGCAATGGTTGTGGACTGCACTGCGGCTGGCGAGTAGAGCCTGGGCAGGTCTGGGTTGGGGGCCGCGATGGAATGTTGTTTTAGCGTTTAACTATCGGACCAGTTACACTCCGAGCAGTTCCGCCAGGCCGGGAGGCCGTGGATTCTGATGGAACGGACACTCCTGGCACATTTGCGCCACGGTCTCATCCTCTCCCAGGTGGGTCGGTATGTAATCCGAATGCGCGCAATAGAACCGCTCGCTGTTGTCCCGAGCCTGAAACACACGCTCGCACTCGGACTTCCGGTCCCCGGGTTTGGGGTCAGTGAACGGACGGCCCGTGGCAGTTTCGTAAAGCGTTCGTTCAATGGCGGCAACGCGTTCCACCTGCGGCTCTGATTCCCGCCATGCCTCGTCCCGGCTCAGTTGGGCCATCTCAATCAGCGCACAGTAGTTTATGTCGGCGCCATAGCTGGCCTCTTGGGCCAGCGCGATTGCAATGTAGGCCAACCGGCGGCGTATCGGGGATTCCGCTGGCAGGTCAGTGAGGTCCAGCTGGGTCAATTGGTTGATGGCGTCAGTCAGGTCCAGCATCATGCGACGGGCCGGGGGACCCGGATGGCGCGGCGAATCCGCGACTGGCGCTCCAGTCGCGCTGGCTGGCGGTTCCGTCGCTCGTTCCGGCCGTTGGCGCCAATCGGGGAACTGCCGCCGGACCAGTGGGCAGCCCAGGCAAGGAAAGGTCAACTCGCTGACGCTCAATTCGCACAGGTAATGGCCGACGTTTGCCAGGCTGCGGTCGACATGGGCGCAGTCCAAGTCGCTGTCGGGACGGCAGTCGTAGATGGCGTTCAGGTCCTCGACGTCCAGCATTTGGGTGAACGGGCTGGCCGCGGCGCTAATAACGAAGGCCAACTCCTGGGCGTCCGAAACTTCCGTAGGCGACAGTTCGACGGCGAGCGCTGCCAGGTGGTAAGCCACGGCGTCGTTGGTTTCCAATGCTTGGCAAACGCTCAGCAGAGTGTCGGATCCCTCCTCCTGTTTGGCCAAATTGCTCGTGGTCAGATTGACGGCCAGTTCGTGCAGGCGCCCCAGCGTCTCCATGACGATTTTGGACCGACCTTGTGGATCTGCCATACCGGACCTCCCCCGATACCCATGATTTGCGGCACCCATTGTAAGCCAGCTTTCTGGGTTCTGGACGCCCGGATCCAGGTGGCAGTATGGTGGTTCTGGACAGTCCATGGGCGGTTTGGATCACGGCTGGCGGGTTTGCCTGAGCTGTTCCTCGAGCGCACGGACGCGAGCCTCGGCTGCGTCGGCCCTATCGCGCTGGTCGTCGTAGGTCAGGATATGGAGTCCTGTTGCCGGGTCGTGCCATCGTAGTTGGCCGGCTTCCCACCGGATGTGCAAGTTCAGCGTTGCGCTGTAGCCTTGCAGGATGCTGTCTTCCAACTCTTTGATGGGGATGGGCACATACACGCCATCCACCAGCCGGTCGCCGGCCAGCTGTGCGCCGTGGTATTGGCCCGTCTCGTCGAAGCGCCAATATTCAGGGATGCCTAGTGCGGCGTACTCTGCGCGCTTTGGTCCGGTGTCGACATGCGCGGTGGACTCCGACGCGATCTCCATGACGAAATCCGGCGGCTTGCCCTGCTCTGAGATGATGTAACCGTTGCTGGCCTCATAGTCGGCTGGATTGACGTCGAATGCGATGAGTAGGTCTGGCCTTCTGAGGCCTGTCGTGCCTGAGCCCGGGGCAGGCGCAACCCAGCGATCGGCTACAACCAGTGTTGTGCCGGGGTTACCGAAGTGCTGGATCAGGTGGTGGCTGTTCCCGAGCTTGTGCAGGTGGTCGTAGCTGGTCATCTCGTCGGGCTCGCGCTGGGGCGGATCCGGCAATCGGAAACGACTTTGGGATTTAGGGGTCTTGGTGGTCATGCTGAACCTCTGGGGGCTTAGCTTGGATGGTCTGTTAGTGCCGGAGTGTTATGGCGACTTGGATTATACCTGGTAACTGTTCAGGTTATGCGCCAGCACCTGCACGGCCAGCCAGGCGCCGTTGGCGGCGAAGCGGCCCGAGGCGAGATGATTCAACCCCACGCCGTACTTGAGGTCTCGGATGGCATTCTCGATCACGGCGTGGCGGCGATGATCAGCCTCCGGTTCCAGGGTTTCCCCGTCCCGGTCGGCGATGCAGCCGTGATAGCTGTAGGTGCCGAAGCGGCCCAGTTGAGAACCGGGCATGGTTTTCACCCGCCGGATGATGAGCTCGCATCGGCTTCGGTGTAGGGCTCAGTCCGGAAAAGGGTGCAGGTGGTCTCTGCCACATCGGCGGCGGCATCCATGCGCACTGCGGCGCTCAGTCCGAACGTGCCGCGTCTGTAGGGTCAGCGGTTCGCTTATTGCCGGACGAGCGCTGGGGGCGCCTTGCCGTCAGCTGCTGCGCAGCCGGTCCAACTCTGCTTCCAGCTGTTGGATGCGCGCTTCTGCCTGGTCGGCGCGGGTTTCTGCGGTGTCGGCCCTGACTAGTGTGTCCTCCAGGGTGACGATGCGTCGGCCAGTGGCCGGGTCGCGCCAGACGAGCTGGCCGTTATCCCACCGCAGGTTCAGGTTGAGGGCCGCGCTGTAACCCTGCAGCACGCCGTCCGGCAGCTCCTCAATCAGCATTGGCTGGTACTGCCCGTTCACCAGTCGGTCGCCCGCCAGCCGCGTTTCCGTGGAACTCCCCCGTCTCGTCGAACCGCCAGTACTCCGGTATGCCCAACTCGGCATAGTAATCCCGCTTTGCGCCTACGTCAGCCTCCGCCGTACTCTCCGACGCCACTTCCAGCACGAAGTCCGGCGGCTTGCCCTGCTCCGAGACGATGTAGCCGTTGCTGGCCCGGTAGTCGCCGGACTCACGCCGAACGCGATGAGCAGGTCGGGCCGGCGTGCCCGGGCCTTGTTGAACTCGGGGCTGGGCACGATCCAGCGGTCAGCTTCCACCAGCGTGGTGTCGGGCCTGCCGAAGTGCAACGCCAGGTAGTGTGCGTTGCCGGGCTTGTGCAGGTGGTCGTAGCTGGTCATCTCGTCGGGCTCGCGCTTGGGGGGATCCGGCAGGCGGAAGCGGACTTCCTGCCCTGGTTGCTGTGTTGTGGTGGCACTGGGCTTGGCGGTGGTCATGTTGGACCTCCGGGGTTGTCGGATTGGCCGGGTTTCGCTCGAACGGGACGGTGCAGGCGATTATACTCGCGGCGCTCCGGCCTGGGTAGCGTGGTCAGCAGCTCGAACAGTTCAGAGTCGAGGGGAAACGAGCAGCTGACGGCAGGCGGCGAGAGGATTTAGACCTTGGGCGCGCTAGAAAGCTGGCCGGAAACCGACCGGATTATGGCGAGGGGTTATACTCCGGGCAATCAAGGCTAGCGGAGCAGGGCAATGCTGGGAAAGCGTTCGGACCAGAAGGGCCTGTGGGAAGCGGACCGGTTGTATCTGGACTACGTGGGCAAGGACACCTTCTACGGTTTGCTGGCCTCACTGCGGGGCCAGCTGTTCAGCGATGACGATTTCGCCGAGATCTACGGTCCGGACAATGGACGGGACAGCGTGCCGCCCAGCCTGCTGGCCACGGCGCTGCTGCTGCAGACCTACGACAAGGTGAGCGACGCCGAGGCCAAGGCGAGGGCTGACTTCGACATCCGGTGGAAAGTCGCCCTGGGGATTGAGATTGAGGATAGACCCTTTGCCAAGAGTACGCTGCAGATGTTCCGGGCGCAGTTGATACTGCACGACAAGGTGCGGGAGGTATTCGAGGGCAGCCTGCGCCTGGCTCGGCAGTCGGGCTACCTGAAAAAGCGTGAGATGCGGGTGGCGCTGGACACGACCTACATCCTGGGACGGGGCGCGGTGAAGGACACCTACAATCTGCTGGCGGACGGCATCGTCAAACTGTTGCGGGTCCTGGCTGCCGTGGCGAACGCCACCTTGCCGGCATGGGCCGAAGCCCAGGGTACGAGCGGTACTTCGGGTCCAGCATCAAGGGCGAGGCGACGTGATCGACTGGTCGGACCGCAGAGCGCGGGCGGCGTTGCTGGCTGAGCTAGTGGCCGATGCGGACCGGCTGCTGGCATTGGCGCGACAGGCGTGGGTGGAATTGCCGGAGGCCAGCGTCCAGCGGCAGAGCATAGTGGATGGGGCGGAGTTGCTGGGACAGTTGCTGCTCCAGGACGTCGAGCGCAAGAGCGGCGATGGCGATGTTGATGCTCATGCTGATGCTGCTGATGACGGGGTGAGCATCAGGGATGGGGTGAGCAGGGACCGGATGCTGTCGGTGCATGACCCGGAGCTGCGCCACGGGCACAAGAGCAGCCGGCGGCGCTTCAACGGGCACAAGGCGGCGATTGTGGTGGACACCGACTCCCAGCTGATCACCGCCGTGGATGTGTTGCCCGGCAACGCTCCCGACAATTTGGGGGCATTGGAACTGGTGGAGCAGAGTGAAGCGAGTACCGGAGCGCCGGTGGACGAAGCCATGGGCGACGCCGCCTATGGGGACGGCGGGACCCGCCAGGCCTTCGCCGACGCGGGACGCCGGTTGGTGGCCAAAGTGCCGGGCCGGCCCAACCGGAGCCACTTTCCCAAGAATGACTTTCACCTCGACCTGGCGGCGGGCAGTTGCACCTGTCCGGCGGGACGGGTTACCCACACCATCGTGCCGGCGGGAAAGCGGACAGATCGCACCGGTCGTGTCTATCGATTGCAGGCTTTCCAGTTCGACGGGGCGGTATGTGGGGTATGTCCGCTGCGCTCCCAGTGCATCGCGGCCCAAGGCCGGCAGGGACGGCGGGTGCTGATCCATCCCCAGGAAGCCCTCCTACAGCAGGCCCGAGCGTTGCAGCAGAGCGCTGCCTACGACGAGTATCGAGCGCGCCGAGTGGTAGTGGAGCACAGATTGGCCCGGCTGGTCCAGCTGGGCATCCGCCAGTCCCGCTACTTCGGGCGTGCCAAGACGAAGTTCCAGTTGTAGCTGGCGGCCACGGTAGCCAACCTGACCCTGGTGGCGGGCAAAATCGGGCGGTCGGGCAGTACCGGTGGCGGGACAGCAGGCCACCGCGTCGTCCGCAATGATGTCTTCGTTGTTGTCGCCAATGCGGCGGCCAATTTCAGCGCCGTCCAGCTCGGACAACTATGGTCCCTGATTTTGTTCGTCTCGGCTTTACTGCCGCAACTCCACTTCCAAATCAGGGCTTTCCGGCCCGGTTTCTAGGCCACGTAGTCCGATTTACATTGCAACTCCTTTCATCGGACTGAGGCTGATAGGTTAGCTCGTGCAGGGTAGTTTCATGCCGATTACGAAAACCGTCATGCCTCTTCCTACTTGAACAATCCTACTACAATGGATAATCCGTCAGCTTCGCTCCGACCGCTACGACAAACCGTTGTGGTTGATAGCGTCGGTTGTTGGACCGATTATCAACCACGGCGGCCTGCCGTAAATCCATGATAGCACGCCGGATGTGACTACCAGTCCAGCAACGACCGCACCGGTAAGTATCGGAGTTGCTGGCAGCCTTCCAATGAACCGACGCACCATCGAGTCCCAGCTCCGCAGGTAGCCGCGGCGCGCCGCGCGCGCCGGTGACGCCTTCGAGCGCTTAGACTTGCTGTCGTCTCGGCACGGCCCGCATTGGTTCGGAGACCCGCGTATCGCCGTCCGGACTGGCCAGTTGTCGTTCCAGAGCCGTGAAGGCATCGATGAGTTCGGGAGCTTCAAAAGCGCGGTTACGCCGGCCGACGTTGACCTGAACCAGCACACCGGCGGCCGCCAGGCGGTCAATGGCCTGGTTGGCGGCTTGGAATGAACGACCGATCAGCTCGGCCGCGGTCGTCACGGTGAGCACTGGAGCTGCCGGCAGCGCTCCGATGAGCCGGTGCACCGCCGAGTCTCGTCGTGGATTGCCGGCCCGTTCGCGCCAGGCTGCCTGCAAGCGGCGCACCCGTTCCTCGAACTGCCTGGCATCCGACACTGCCCGCTGACACGCTCCGGCAAAAAGCGCAATCCAGCGGTTCATGCCCACGTGTGCGGCGTCTGATCCCGGCTCGCCCAGGTAGCGAGTGGCCGTAAGGCCTGTGACGTAATCTCCGGCCCACGTCGCCAGGACCAGGGAGACCGGCGGCAGGACATGCGTTGCCATCCCCCGGCGGCGCAGGATCAGGTGAACCAGCGCCCGTCCGGCGCGCCCGTTGCCGTCAACGAAGGGATGGATGGTCTCGAACTGGGCGTGGGCGACTGCCGCCTGGGCCAGAGCCGGAAGTCCATCGTCGTTGCAGAAGGCGAGCAGGTCCTCCAGCAGGCCGGGCACCGTCTCCGGCGGCGGCGGCACGAAGGCGGCGGAGCAGGGATTGTAGCCGCTGCCGCCGATCCAGTTCTGAACCGTGCGGACGCGTCCGCCGTGCTCCTGCAGGCGGGTTCCGGCCGATAAGCGGCGATGCACTTCCAGCAGGATGCCCAGGGCTATCTGAGCGCCCGGTTCAACTGCCGCCACTGCCCAGACCATGGCGTCGATGTTGGCTAGCACCTCGGCGGCGGTGACGTCGCGAACCTCCTCCCCTAGTTGGCGAGCTGCGTCGGCTCGGAGCAGCCGTCTTCCACCCACCACCAAACCCTCGATGCGTGAGGATGCCACCGACTCAGCCCTCAGCAGCAGCCGGGCCAGGGCTTCGGTGTCGGCCAAAGCGTCCACCGCCAAGTTGAGCCTCACCAGGTCGGCCTCGGCGTCGGCGACGTCCGCGGCCACGTCCCCGTCGAGAGCGAAGCGGCGACCGGGTCAGGTTGTCGGGCAGGTAGACGGAATACCGGCATGGCCTGCGGTCGCGCCGGGTTGGCCCGGTGAAATCGGCTTCCCAGATATGCTCTTCCAATTTGGCCATTGCCCGTCTCCGTATTCAAGGATAGCACGCATCATTGAACATACGTCGACGTCATTAAAGTTTCCAAGCGATCCCCACGCCGGAATGGGGAGGCGCAGTTTTTGTATGGTAAACACTCATCGCCCTGGCGCAAGAGATGGCGGCAACTCCGCCTTCCGACTGTCTCCACCAGACCAGGCTTCGTCTCGCGGTCAGCACCGTCTACTACGCCATGTACCACGCTCTGGCCCGCAGCAACGCGGACCTGCTGATGGGCCCATCAGAAACGGAGGTCAACACGCCGGAGTGGAACCGCGTCTACATGGCCCTGGGTGGCGACTCAGCACATGAGCTGATGCAGGCCGACTTCTCCCGCCACCCGGCAGCGGTCAGGCGTTTCGCTGAAGTATTTCTCGCCGTGCATCACCAGCGGCTGCTGGCCGAGGAGGACCCGATGGTCACGTTCACCACCGTCGAAGCCCAGGATTGGATCCAGCGAGCGCAGGCGGCAATTGCCGAGTTCCTGTCCGTCGAGCCCGAGCAACGCACAGCCTTTGCCGTGCAGCTGTTGCTGGTTCGGCCGTCGGAGCAATAACCGATATCGGCGAGGCCGCCATCATTTGGGGAGGTCCACTGGCGCCCATCCGTCACCCCGGTAACGCCAGGCGTGGCGCGGGCTGCTGCCCAGGATGAACACGTCGCCCGTCCATCCTGAGTTCAGGATCCGCTGGGCCACGTCCAGGGGAAATTCGGAGACCGGCTTGACCTCCGCGTAGGTCTCCACGCCGTCCATCACCAGGCGGAAATCCGGTGTCCACCCGTCGAACCGGGCCGGTTCGTACTCCCAGGCAATTCCCCGTTTGTCGAACAAGCCGCCCAGCGGGCCTCCAGCTGGCTGCGGAAGGTGGCGCCGGCGTACTCGGTGATGACCGGAGTCTGCTCAGGATCCAGGGTGTGAGGTGCCACGCTGGCCGCCCAGCGGTGCAGCGCAGCGGCGGTGTCCTCCCTGAGCAGTCTTTCCCGCTCAGAACGCGGTACCGGCTGGCGGGCAATCTCCAGCAGCGCCTGGGCGTAGCGGCCCAGGTTGTCGGCCACGGCCTTCGTCAATCCCAGCCCGCCGCCCACCTTGTCCCAGATGACAATGGCGCGGTTCACCTCGCTGCTGCGCCCGTCGCGGACCACCTGGACGTTCTGGTGCGTGGTGCGGATGTCGGCGGGATGGATCGACTCCCGGCTGCACATGACCGTCCGGAGGGCCCGGGCCACGTCCCTCCGGGTGTTCGTGTCGTCGAACCAGTCCTCCCAAATGATGACCACCGTGGCGGTGGTACGCAGGTTGGTGACCACCTCGGGGATACCCTCGGCGCCGTAGTGAACGTCCCTCCACTCGCTGTCGCCCGGTTCGCGCACGGAGCAGCCGACGATCCGCTCCCAGGCCACCGCTCGGGCGTGGGCGCAGTATTCCAGGTGTCCCTGTTCGGAGACCCGGGGCTGCTGCAGGGTGACGGTGGCGCCGTTCTGTATGATGGGACGGGTTTCCCGCGGCGGAGCGTGACGCGCGGTGATCACCGTCTCACCGCCGGACTCGCGCCAGCCCTCAATGGTGTAGGACTGCTTGGCGTGGAAGTAGGTGGCCAGGGGATAGGCGTCCCGGGCCGCCTCCCGGCGGGTGACCTCGCTGGTGAGGAGCTCCGTCTCGCCGCCCGGCATGACCTGCAGGATTCGCGCCCGCCCGTCGGCGGCGTCCCTGATGTCGTTGCGGTGAGGCTGTTGCGGGTCTCCCGTCTGGAACTCCGGCGCGTAGTGCTCGCCCCGGGCGATTTCCCGGAGCGTCTGGGGCAACTGCTCCGGCCAGGCGTCCGTGGGCGACGGTATCGACCGCTCTGTGCCGTTCAGGTCCGTCTCCTTGGCCAGGCACCGGCCGTGGGTGTTCCTGATGTTGGGATTGGACGGATACAGCCGGGCCGGCTCCACCGGCTGCCGCCAGTAGGCCGCCAGGCTATCCTCGTGGAACTGGAAGGCGCGGCGCGGCGCGATGATGATAAAACGGCCCGGGCTGTTGCGCCCCACCCGGCCAGCCCGTTGCCTGATGCGTCCCACCGAGTGGGGCAGCCCCAGGTTGAAGCCCACCTGCAGGTCGGGGATGTCGATGCCCATCTCCATGGCGCTGGTGCTGGCGATGCCCCGAATGTCTCCGGCACGCAGCGCCTCCTCGATCCGCTCCCGCTGCATCAGCCCGGAGCGATACGCCATGGCGTCCCGGGACTCCACGATGATGGCGTCCTCGGTGATGCTGCGGGCGGCCTCGATGCCCGCCGCGGCGCGCTCCGCCAGCTGCCGGTCGTCCACAAAGGCGATGTACGACCGGTCGGGATCGTCGTTGATGACCTCCCGCACCGCTGCCTGCAGGTCCCGCCAGCCCTCGTCGTGGGGTTCCCGTCCGACGGCGTGCTGCACCGTCAGCTCCGCCCGGGGGCTGCCGTCGTAGCGGTCATCCACCACCTGGAAGGGCAGGCCGGCCAGGGTCTCCAGGTGCTGGGCCGGGTTGTGGATGGTGGCGCTGGCCGCGATCATTCGTAGCGGCTCGAACTGCGCCATCAGCTCCCTACGCTTCTGCTGCAGCCGGTGCAGCAGGTAGAGGCAGTGGGTGCCCAGGGCGCCGTCGTAGGTGTGGGCCTCGTCCAGGATGAGAAACGCCAGGTTGGACAGGAACCGGCGCACGTTGTACTGGGTGTTCTGCACCTCCCTGAGGTCGTGGCGCAGCGGCCGCCTGCCGTAGAGGGGCTCCGAGTAGGCCATCAGCCACTGCTGGATCACGTCGGGGGTCATCAGGGCGAGGCGGGTGCGTTGCAGGATAAGCCGGCGCTCGGTGAGGTCCCGCACGTCGCCGTCGATTCGGTTGATGCCGGCGGGGTCCAGCCCTGCGGCTTCCGCCATGTTCCGCCAGCGGAGGACCTGGTCCCGGGCCAGGGCCTTGATGGGGTAGATGGCAATGGCCGTAGCGTTGGGATGGGTGGCCAGATGGTGCAGGGTGGGCGCCTGGAAGACCAGTGACTTGCCGCTGGCGGTGCCGGTGCTGATCACCAGGTTGTGGCCCTGGCCCAGCAGCTCCAACCCCATGGCCTGGTGCAGGTAGAGCTGGCCGCCGCCCGTCTGGGCCTTTACCGCGGGCCACGTTGGGCTGCCGGCCAGCCAGGAGGGTGTCTCGCCGTGGCGGGCCTCCTGGCCGGGGATGGTGATCTCGTCTTGAATCTCCACGCTGTGCTACCTGCGGTGGTACGACTCGCGCCGGTGGGCAACCCTGACCACCAGGATGACCAGTTCTTCGTCCAGCAGCTCGTACAGGATACGGTAGTCACCCACGCGTTGGCGGCGCAGACCGCGCAGTCCTCCCTTCAGCGGGCTGCCAGCCAGCGGCTGTTCCCGCAGGGCGTCGATGGCGACAATGACCCGTTCCCTGGCGTCCCGGGGCAGCTGCGCCAGTTCCCGCCGGGCGCTGTCCCTAATCCGAATCGAGTAGCTCACGCCGGACCTCATCCCAATCCAGGACCGGATCGGAGGGGTCCCGCAGCCGCTCCAGAGCGACGGTGAGGTCGTCAAAGTCCTCCAGGTAGCTTTCCAGAGCCTGGCGGATTACTTCGGCACGGCTGCGGTTGAGCGTGGCCGCCGCCGCATCCAGCGCCTCGGCTACTTCGTCCGATACCCGGGCGGTGATCTGCGCCATCGGTACAACCCTCCGTAATGCGTGTTGCGTGTGTGTAATGTCATCGACATTGATCGCACTCAACATACTCCCGCTGGGCGGAGGACGTCAACGCGTCAGGTGCCCAGGGCAATCGCATTGCATTGGGCTAGGACTTTGAGCAGGTAATCGAAGTCCCATCCGGCCTTTTTGCGTTTGGCTTTGATGCCGACTTTAGCACTGCGTTCCTGCTTGAGCAGGTTGAGTGCCAGGTGTCGCATCACCGCCAGGTTCTGGTCGGCATGGCCCGTCCTCACACGACTGAGATCCTTGATAGACGACAATTAGTCCTGCCGGATATTGTGGTCTAGACGTGAGCCGCCGCCACAGGGGACCACACACACGGCCGCAATCACGACGACGGCTGCAGACCGTCTACGCGCTCCCCAAAAATACTTGGTTGAGTATATCGGTTTCCCGTATCGACTGCGGCGTCCCGTTGTGCACCACCGCACCTTTGTCCAGTACGTACGTCCGGTCGACTATGTCCAGCACGCCCTTGATGTTGTGCTCTACCACCATGATGGTCGTATTCAGCCGCTCGCTGATCCCGGCAACCTTCTCAAAGACTTCCTTGACTATTATCGGCGCCAGGCCAAGGGTGGGCTCATCCAGCAGCAGCAGCTCCGGCGCGGCCATCAACCCGCGACCCAGGGCCAGCATCTGCTGTTGCCCGCCGGACATCGCGCTCGCCATGTCCTTGCGCTTTTCATACAGAACGGGGAACAGTTCCATCACCGAATCCAGCCGCTTCGCCTTCTCCGCCCGATCGTTGAGATAGATGCAGCCCATTTCAAGGTTCTCGGCGATGGTCAGGTGCGTGAACACGCGCCGTCCCTGGGGCACGAACGCGATGCCTTCCTTCACGATCTCGTGGGTCGCCGCCGCCAGCTGCTGTTCCCTCCAGTACACGCTACCGTGCGTCACCGGGGCCAGCCCCATGATGGCCTTGAGGACCGTGGATTTGCCGGCTCCGTTTGGCCCCATCACCGCCACTACCTCGCCCTTTTGGACGCCCATGGATATGTCGTCCAGCGCCCTTACGGCGCCGTATTCCACGGAGATCTCTACCAGCTCCAACAGCGGCGCGTCTGCAGTGTTTGCCGTGTCCTGATCCATCTCCCACACCGACGCTGGCGTCGTCACGCGCCCAAATACGCCTCGATAACTTCTTCGCTTCCCAGAACTGGTTCCACATCGCCGGCGGCCAGCAGCGCCCCGCTGTCCAGCACGATGATCCGGTCCGACAGCTCGCGCACGATTTCCATGTTGTGTGAAACGAACACAATGGTGTAACCGTCCGCCCGCATCTGCTTCATTATGTCCTTGACCCGTTCTACCATCTGCGGGAACAGGCCGGCGAATGGCTCGTCGAACAGGTACGTCTGCACGTCCATCGCCATGACCCGCCCTATCTCCAGCAGCTTGCGCTGGCCGTAGGACAGGTCCATCGCCAGGGAGTCACGTTTCTCCCACATCCCCACGGACTCCAGGATGTGCTGTGCCTTCTGCCGCGTGGCCGGTTTCACCCGCTCCAGCAGGGATGGGAACAGGCGTCGCTCCGTGAGCACTACCATGATGTTGTCCCACACCGTGATCTGGTCGAACAGGCGCACTTCCTGGAAGGTGCGGGTCAGCCCGTGCGCCGGCGTTTCGTGCGCGCGTACCACCCGCAGACCCACTCCGTCGATTATCACCATCCCGCCGTCCAGCGGCAGAACCCCGCTCAGCAGGTTTACCAGCGTCGACTTGCCGGAGCCGTTGGGCCCCACGATGCTGGTAGTGCCCTGCCTCGGGATCGACAGGCTCAGCTCATCAACCGCCCGCACCGCGCCGAAGTGTTTCGAGATCCCGTCCGTTTGCAGCGCCAACGATCCGTCGCCCGTCGTCATAGCCTGTACCTCCCTACCAGTCCCTGCGGCCGGAACAGCATCAACAGCACCAGCAGGATCCCCAGGACCACCTGCCGCGCCTGACCGACGTATTCCGTGGGCAGGAAGGGTATGAACCGCATCCCTTCCTCCAGCAACACGAAGGCCATCGCGCCCAGCAGCGAACCCCAAATCGTCGCCAGCCCACCCAGTATGACGATGGATACCAGCAGCACCGACTCCAGCAGGATGAAAGAGTTGGGGTCGATGAACGTGGTCCAGCTGGCAAACAATCCTCCCGCAAGACCCGTCATCATCGCCGAAATGACCCAGACTGCCAGCTTGTAGTGCGTGGCCTGGTATCCGAACACCTCAATGGCCTGCTCGTCCTCCCGGATTGCCGTGAGCACCCGCCCGAAGGACGAAGTCGTGATGAACCATGACATCAGCATCACCAGACCCAGGAACGCCATCGCCAGCAGCAGGAATTCGACCTCTCCATCGAACACCCAATCGCCAATCTGGGGCCGGGCAATCTCATGTATTCCAAATGCCCCTCGGGTGACGCTCCTCAGGTTGAGAAACACGTTGTACGCGATGATGGCGAACCCGAAGGAGACCAGCACGAAGATGTCGTCGCGGAACCGGTTGAACACCACGCCCACCAGCAGGGCGGCCAACCCCGCCAGCCCTATGCACACCGGCAGCGCCGCGAAGAACGGCCAGCCGAATGTCGGTATCGCCTCCGTCCGCAGCTGCTCGTACGCTGGGTTCGACGTCAGGATCGCCATGGTGTAGGCGCCCAGCCCGAAGAAACCGATATGGCCCACCGACAGCAGCCCAGTAAATCCCACCACGAGGTTCAGGCTGACGGCCAGGATCGCCCAGATCGCAAACACGGTTCCGACGATCACCGCGAACCCGACGCCCTGCCACAGCATGAACGCCACCATCCCGCCGATCACGAACAGGTTGGCCCACAACTCTATGTTCCCCCGGGCGTAGCGGACCAGCTCTCGCGGATTTCGCGCTGCCTGGGCAAATTCTCTCACACCTTGCATATCCACCGGCACCGCGTCACCTCCTCGGCAGCAGACCCTGCGGCCAGAACGACAGGAACAGGATGAGCAGGACGAACGATATGGCGTCCTTCCATTCTCCTGCCAGGTCCCAGATGCCGAACTGCTCCACTAACCCCAGCGCAAATCCGCCCACGATGGCCCCGTAGAGATTGCCGATGCCGCCGACCACTGAGGCAATCCAGCCTTTCAGCAGTAGCAGCAGGCCCATGCGCGGTTGCACCGCCGTGTCGTGGCCGGTCAGGATCCCCGCCATCGCGGCGTAGACCGCTCCGATGAAAAACACAATGGCGATGATGACGGTGGTGTTTATCCCGACCACCTTGGAGACCTCTTCATCGTCGCCGATGGCCCGTACCGCGCGTCCGAAGGAGGTCATCTTTAGCAGGAACCACATGCCGGCGAAACCGGCGAGGGCGACGCCGATCGCAAATACGTTGAACCCCTTGATGCGCGCGCCGGCGATGTTCCATGGGGTACTGCCGAAGGCGTCGGGCAACGGCCGCGGAGCGCTCTGAAACACTATGACGATCAGTGCGGCGATGGCTAGCAGGATGCCGAGGGACGCGACCAGCATGATCAGCGGGGACCGTGCCCGTTCTCGCATGTACGCGTACAGGCCCCGGTACAGCGCCAGCCCCACGCAGCCGGCCAGCAGGCACGAAACTGCCCAGCTCAGGTAGAGGCCCGCTCCCGGAGCGTTCGTCAGCAGGTAGCCGCACCAGGCGCCCAACGTGGACGCCGGTACGGCTGCGACCAGTGCAACCCGCGTCGAACTGACGCTTGCAACCACTGTCCGGACAGCTCGTTGAGCGACCGAGATCGCAACGACCGCCGTCGCCAGTCCTACCGCTGGGCTCAGGGTCAGATGCAGGTGTTCCGGATATGACAGCACTACCGCGGTGTAAATGCCCATCGCGACGGCAACGACCGCAAGGACAGCGCGGAAGGCCGTCGGGCTGGCCCGTTCTCTTAAACGAGGCTCCAGTACGGTGTACAGCGTCCAGGCGACCACACCCGCTACCACCGCTCCGAAGACAACGTTTACAGGGACGCTGTTAATGTCGAGCCGACTTCCTAACGCCGGGTCGGTGCGCAGGTAGAACACCCCGTACGCGCCGAGCGCGGCGGCGGCTCCATAATAGAGGTCGAAGAACCATACCGTGCTGTAGACCAGGGTGAAGCCTAGCGCCAACAGGGCGTACACCGCGCCCACGGCGAGTCCGTTAAATGCAAATTGCAGTGCCTGCGGCGGCGCTTGCCAGATTTCCAGGCGATGTAACCCAGGGCGAGCGCCGTCAAAGGGAAGCAAACAGCGCGGACCGGGCACATTTATCAATCGGGGCAGCCCGCGGGCGCTTTCACGGTTGCTAGCCAACGAAATCCTCGCCAGTCTGGCAAATCATCGATTGTTAGTTATGGTGAGGCCAATCATAGCATAAAGGGCCGGCCGAGTGACTACGACCAGCCCTCTT